TCGTACTTTCTATTTCTTCCTGATTCAGTCTTGAAAGGTTGTACCTTTCTAAGAATTTGTCCTTTTCTTCTAGGTTGTCCATTTTATTGGCATATAGTTGCTTATAGCAGTCTCTTATGATCCTTTGTATTTCTGTGGTGTCCATTGTAACTCCTCCTTTTTCATTTCTAATTTTTTTGAGTCCTCTCCCTTTTTTTCCTGATGAGTCTGGCCAAAGGTTTATCAATTTTGTTTATCTTCTCAAAGAAGCAGCTTTTAGTTTCATTGCTCTTTTCTATTGTTTTTTTCATCTCTATCTTTATGATTTCTTTTTTTAAAAAATTTTCATTGGAGTATAATTGATTTACAATGATTTCTTTCCTTCTACTAACTTTGGGTTTTGTTTGTTCTTCTTTTTCTAGTTGCTTTAGGTGTAAGTTTAGGTTGTTTATTTGAGATTTTTTTGTTGTTTCCTGAGGTAAGATTGTATTGCTATAAACTTCCCTCTTAGAACTGCTTTTGCTGTGTCTCATAGGTTTTGGATCATTGTGTTTTCATTGTGATTTGCCTCCTTCTAGGTATTTTTTTATTTCCTCTTTGATTTCTTCAGTGATTCATTGTTGTTTAGTAACGTATTGTTTAGCCTCCACGTGTTTCTGTTTTTTAAAGTATTTTTCCTGTAATTTATTTCTGATCTCATAGTGTTGTACTTAGAAAAGATGCTTGATATGATTTCTTCCATTTACCGAGGCTTGATCTGTGGCCCGAGATGTGATCTATCTCAGAGGATGTTCTATGTGCACTTGCGAAGAATGTGTATTCTGCTGCTTTTGCATGGAATGCTTGATAAATATCAATTAAATCCATCTGGACTAATGTGCCATTTAAGACCTGTGTTTCCTTATTGATCATCTGTCTGGATGATCTGTCCATTGATGAAAGTGGGGAGTTAAAGTCCCCCACTATTATTGTGTTACTGTTGACTGTCCCTTTTATGGCTGTTAGTATTTGCCTTATATATTAGGGTGCTCCTATGTTGGGTGCATATATATTTACAATTGTTTTATCTCCTTCTTGATTGATCCCTTGATCATTATGTAGTGTCCTTGTCTCTTGTGACGTGACAGTCTTTCTTTTAAAGTCTATTTTGTCTATAATGAGTATTGCTACTCCAGCTTTTTTTGTTTTCCATTTGGGTGGAATACTCCATCCCCTCACTTTCAGTCTGTATGTGTCCCTAGTTCTGAAGTGGGTCTCTTGTAGACAGCATATATATGGGTCTTGTTTTTGTATCTGTTCAGCTAGCCTACGTCTTTTGGTTGGAGCACTTAATCCATTTATGTTTAAGGTGATTATCGATATGAATGTTCTTATTGCCATTTTGTTAATTGTTTCAGCTTTGTTTTTGAAGGTCTTTTTTCTTCCCTTCCTCTTTTGTTCTCTTGTGATTTGATGACTATCTTTAGTGTTATATTTGGATTGCTTTGTGTGTATCTATTTTAGATTTTTGGTTTGTGGTTCCCATGATGTTTTGATATAGCAGTCTGTGTATGTAGTAGATTGTTTTAAGTTGCTGGTCTCTTAATTTACAATGCATTTCCAACATCCTGCATTTGTACTCTCCTCATGATTGCTGGTTTTGATATCATATTTGTGTGTGTGGGATTTCCTCCCTTTATGTTTGTTGAGACATTTTTTTAAATATAAAATTTTAAGCTATAAATTTCCTTCTAAGCACTGCTTTACCTGCATGCCATGAATTTTGACATGTTGGGTTTTTTAAATTAGTTTACTTCAAAATACATTGTATTTTCCTTATATATTTCTCCTTTGATCCATCAGTTGTTTAGAGCTGTATAGGTTGCCAAATTCTTGAGAATCCCCCTAAGTTCCTTCTGCTACTGATTTCTGCCTTAATTCCATTGTGGTCAGAGAATATATTGATTGTGATTTCAGTCCTTTTAAGTTTATTAAGATATGCTTTAGAGCCAAGAAGATGGTCTATCTTGTGCTTGATAAACAGTGTCTTCTTCTGCCTTTGTGTGGAGTATTCTATAAAGGTCAGCTAAGTTGTTTGATAGCGTTGTTCATGTTCGCTGTACCCTTCCTGATATTCTGTTTAGTTGTTTTGTCAATTAATAAAAATGGTATATCAAGTCTTTCAACTCTATATTATTTTCTACTCTTGATTTTGTCAATTTTTGCTTCCTGTATTTGAAGGTGCTACATATTTATTCAAGAGAGACTAAAGCACAAAGGCATGTATACAAATGTTCATGGCAGCTTTATTCACCATAGCAAAAAAAAAAAAAAGGGAAACAATCCAGATATCTTTCAAACATAATGTAGCCTATCTACACAATAGAATACTATTCAGTCATGTTTTAATTTCAAGAAAAACTAAAACAGCTTACTGATATCTGCAACATGGATTGAAATATAAATTAGTATTTTGAGTGAAAAAAAGCCATACTCAAGTCAATCATTGGTTGCTTGGGGCCAGAAGCAGTGGGAAAAATAGATTGCAAATGGTCATGGGAAGCTTTGTGGTGGAGGCTGAAAATGGTCTGTATCTTAATTGTATTAGTGGTTTCACAGGTGTGTATATCTGACAAAATTTATCATATTGTAAATTTTAAGTGGTGTACTTTATTGTATATTATATATATTTGTGTATACACACTTATCAATATAGCTGATAACATAAATAATTCACTGTGTATCATTATCCTTAGTCATGTGGGCTGCTTCCTTTGGAAAACCTGCTTATATAAATTTGAGATAGATGAATACCTTCCAGTGGCAATAAAGAAGGCAATATAAAGACAATAGAGATGTTGTAAGTTTGTAGAATGGAAACTTAAATTGTGCCTCTCTTACGCAAAAATGAACACAGATTTAACAATCCTAAGTAGTTTTGGCTAAAATTAGTTACACACAATATCCATCATGAGTATTTCTTACTCTGTTTCATAAACTATCATTAAAGGCATTATGATATTTATTTATTAATATATAAATAAGCAAACAATCCTCCACCTAGTCATAGTACTAAATGACCAAAATAGCAGAGATTATGGTTGAGTTAATCTTTGCTTTATTTATTTGTTTATGTATTTATTTTTTGTTTGTTTTGTTTTGTTTTTTTGTGGTACACGGGCCTCTCACTGTTGTGGCTTCTCGCGTTGTGGAGCACAGGCTCCGGATGCGCAGGCTCAGCGGCCATGGCCCACGGGCCTAGCTGCTCCGCGGCATGTGGGGTCTTCCCGGACCGGGGCATGAACCCGTGTCCCATGCATCCGCAGGCGGACTCTCATTCACTGCGCCACCAGGGAAGCCCTATTTATTTTTTTTTTTTAAGATTTTTTTTGATGTGGACCATTTTTAAAGTATTTTATTGAATTTGTTACAATATTGCTTCTGTGTTTTTTATGTTTTGTTTTTTTGGCCGTGAGGCATGTGGGATCTTAGCTCTCTGAACAGGGTTCGAACCCACACCCCCTGCATTGGAAGGCGAAGTCTTAACCACTGGACCGCCAGGGAAGTCCCAATCTTTGCTTTATTTTGTATGACTTTGCAAAGCAAGTAGTCTCTAAATTATTCAGAAGAGACGATCAATGTGTCATTTTTTAAAGATGGCTAATTATTTGTTTTTCAGCCATTACTTGAGCTCTTCATCTGCTGTTTCAGGCCCTAGGATATACACAAAGCAAGTCTGATATGGTCTTTGCCCTCACTGAAGTTAAAATCCAGTAGGAGCAAGCAATGAATTATTAACTGTATGAAGTGCTATAAATAAATATAAAATGATACAGGACAGTATTAAGTGTGAGGTTGTTGGTGGCTCCTTAAAATTAAGTATATGTGTACTTTAAAGTGGGGATCCTTCTGAGGAGATGATATTTGTACATTGACCTTAACTATGAAAGGACGTCACTGTGTGAATATCTCCAGGAAGAGCATTCAAGACACAGGTCATAGATATCAAATGCCAAGTGCTGGAGACCAGAATGAGCTCTGTATGTTCCATGTAAAGAAGGGAGGTCAATTGAGCCTAAAGTTGGTGGATCATTTTGGAATTGGGTGAAAGGAGTCAATTCATTAATTTAAGCAATTAACCAAACAGTATTTTTTCCCAGCTAAAATTCCTCAAATTCTAGTTCTCTTAAAATGCTTTTAAACTTTAAAGTTAGCATGTGACACTATGGGATAGACTTTGTTGGTATAAAAAAAATTAAGGTCAAAATAAAATTTGAGAACTTTATGTAAAAAAATTTTCATCAAGTGGCACTTTTTAAAAAAAATCTCTGTTAATTGTAAAAAAAAAAAAAATCTCTAACTGTAAAACTAACAAGTATTTTAAAGTAAATATTCAGTATTTGCCTGGCTGTTTAGATATACATCTTTAAAAATTGGAAATGCCCACTTCACCAACTGAACATGAAATTTCAAGAATTCAGTTGCAGTATGTTAAGCTGAAGCATGGCCCACACATTGGCAGTTCATATCTTGGGTTATCTGCAGTTTAGGAAAAGAGCAAGAGCAGTTTAACCACTAAAATGTAAGCAGACTATCTTTTCTTCAAGCAGCAATTGCTCTTTTGATTTAACTTAAATCATTCAGTAATTTTCCATAATTTAAGGAAATCCATGTCTAATAAAAGATATGTGTGTAACTATGAAGTTAACTTTTATATTCATTGTTCAATTGACTTTGAACTGCTCATATGTTCACCTGCTCAGAAATTTCTAGTTGGCTGATGTGAAATTTTTTAACCTTTGCAATTTGTTAACTAAAAATTTCATTACATGGCCCAAAATAGCAGATTTAATTAATGTTTTTAAAACATTAATTGCCTTAGACACATTTATCATTTAAGTTTCAGCTGCCTCATTGTCAGCTTCTAAGTATTTAGAGTTATAATACTGAAGCAGGAGTTTATATAATGTTTGATTAGTGACCCTTAACCAGCAGCTTTCTCCTCTCTTCCATTCAGTTTTCATATTTCAGACCTCTTGGTTTTCTTACAAAATACAAATAAGTCATAATCTGAAATAAATGGATTCTTTATTGCTGTCCCCTATTTGATAGCCAAAAAATAACCTCCTTGAATAAATAGATACATGTATACATAGATAGGTAACTAACAAAAAAGAAACAAAGGAAAAAGACTGGTATGATCCTTCAGGGAAGCAGTAAATGCCAGCCATATGGTTAGGTGCTGAGTATGCCTTATCTTTAAAACTAAGATAAATGAAACTTAAAACTAATTAAAGGAGAAGAAACCAGATTCAAAACCAAGTCTTTATGGCCCCAAAGCTGTGGTCTTTCCTTTGCGCCATGTTGCCACTAGGAGACAGTGTCAAAAACAATGAATTAATTGGTCCTCTATTATTAGTCTGCTTTGTTTTTATGCATTACTGGATATTAAAAATTATAATAGTACTTTTCATTACATCAGTAACTTGGCACTGGTCCTAAGCAGAGTATGTACCTACTGGGTCCCAAAAAGTGGCTGCTTCCAGGTCCCTTTCCTTGGCCACAAGTCACCAAATGACTGTCTCCATTTTATTCAAGTCCAGCTGTATTGAAAAAGAGTAAAAAATCTATTAATAGGAACACATATTTTAACATGTCTTTTTCGACGCTTTGCCCCTTTCTCATGATCTAAAGAGACTTCTGCCTTTTTTCACTCAATGTTTTCTCACTTTAGTGAGAAAGCGTCCTATCACCATAAATTTTTGATGTACAGTTTGGAAAAGTAGAGGAATAGACACAACAAAAATAATCTAGCATATTCTAGATAGAAAGGTTGTGAGAGCAAAAGAAGTGCTAGGAATTCTGGGTACAGAGGCAGGTGAGAGAGGATGGAGGGGGTAAGATTAACATGAGATGGCCACGAGGACGATGTGGAAGGGATACTCTTCTGGAGTTTGGATACTAAAAATCTTTGGGGTTTGGGAAGTAGATAAACAATTTCTGAGTCAATGAAAGGAGATTTAGGTAAATTTTATGCATTACATAGTTGGTCTTCTGGATTATGGGGTGCTTGCATAAAACTCTGACAGGCCACAGGCTTGGCCATTTGCTGTAGGGCAATGCTTTATCCATATGTGAATATAGACTGGAAAACTGCTGCTGAGAGAGCCTAGCACAGTCAGGCTATGTTGTAGAATCTCTTGGAGTTACAAGGAAAAGTTGTGACTGATCTTTACTGTGGATGGCCTTAGGTATAAAAGATTGAGGCAAGTTATGCCAGAGTGCTAAGATTTGTGTATCCTAAATTAGGGTTACAGGTGCTCAGACATTTGAAGTTATTTAAGAAGAGTGATATCGGCAGAAGCAGTATCCAATAATGACTTTCTCATTTTGAACACAATATGGGGTACTTTGTTAAAATACCCTTCTGTCTAGGAGAGCTGCTTATTTCATTCACTATTTTATATAAAGAACTTATTAAATGATCTATACCCTAACAAGAAGAAGGGAGTCTTTTTCTATCTTTTAAAAGACTATTCCTAAAACAACACCCTTTAGTTTTTTAAAGATATTATAAATGAGTTGACCTATTTCAAAATCAGTGTAGGGCTTTGGATCACGTTTCCTTGAAATAAACACCACTCCAATGATAGACCCAGTTCGTTCGGTTCATAAAGTTTACAAATAGATAAAGAACTGGGGAAATGAGCAGGTAGACTAATGAGAAATGGAGAGCAGGGTTATGTTAAGATAGCAATGGGGTCAGGAGGGAGAATACTGATGAAGCTGAAACAGCAAACTCTTCCCTCTTATAGAGGAAAAAGACAATAGAACTTAAACTGGTCAGAGAAAATAGGACAGTGGACTATACCTGTTTATGGGAACATTTTCATAATTTTTTCAACAGACATGTATAGAGCAGATAAAAGCATACTAGGGCATCATATCTGAAGTCAGTCATTACTTCTGGGATCTTATTTCAGAGCTAAGCCCTTTATACACTACAGCTGGGAGGGCACCACCACTGCCTCAGGAATCACACAAGCAGTTAGATGTGCAGATTAGACCAGAGACATATGTTTGTTTTGTCTTAGCCTGTTTTGTGCACTCACTCACTGGTGTGTAAGTCATTGCCAAATGTTTTCTTGGAGTCAGTGGAGACATGAAGATAAAGACTGTAAACAACTCAATAAAATGGATAGAGTGATATAAGCCTAATTTTAAGACTTGCTTGAGAAATACCTAATCAAAATGTTATAAAACACTCAAACATAAAGCTTTATGTAAATAGTAATTAATATTTTTATACAGAGATATAAAATGAAGTTAATAAAAGAGTATGCATTAACATGGCATGAGTATTCTAGCACATTGACTGTCCTGTACTCTGTAAGTTAATTGCTACAGACTATTTCAGAAATAAAATACTAAACTGAAAATGATGTCATTTTAATTTTAGTTCTGCTTTGAAGACAAACATGCTGAAAAAAAGCAGTGTGCCAAAAAACGTGGTTAATTACTAGAGTTCTGCTCTAGAGACACATTCAAAGTACAATTACTCTATATGTAAGATGGATAGTTACTTGAGTTTCTCAATTCTGAAAGGTGATCAGATAGCCAGGCAAATGATTACTAAGTAGGCATAATTTCATGAGTTTTTCCAAGTATTTTGTTTATTTGGGAAATGAAGTTAATGATCATGAAAGTAGATATCTAACCACCTTGGCTGAACTGACAAAGTTCTACTGTACCATTTTTATAGACACAAAGGCAATTTTACAAATCTATCCTAAGTGTAAAGATATTATTTAGGGTCAAGGTAAATTTATAAAATAATAATTATAATAACGTATTATATATCCAGTATAACCATATACTAGATGTATATTTCTCGAATTTAATTATTTGCCAATATCTGGCTCTAGGAAAGTTTTCTTCTTAAAAGCAATATTTGAAAAAAATGATTGAAGTTCAGTGATTATATTTATGATGTATCAATAGTCACATGGGGCATTTGTCATTTGCTTTAAGCATAATAGAATAATTTCAAAAATTCTAGAATATCTTCTTCATACATGCAACACAGAGGATAAGTGATACTTTATGAAAACTTAGCTATTATTTTCTCTCATTTTTTTTTTTTTTGACGGCGCCATACGGCTTGTGGGATCTTAGTTCCCCGACCAGGGATTCAACCCAGGCCCTCAGCAGTGAGAGCATGGAGTCCTAACCACTGGACCACCAGGGAATTCCCTATTCTTTTTATTTTAAATAAAAATTAGTTGTAAAATGAGCTCAACTAACACCTCACTATACCTAAAATGTTCATCCACCAGAGTTTTTCCATTTCTTTTGGGTATCAAATAAGCCAGCTTTCCTTATGACAGTAAAGGATGAAAGCCTGCATGGGTATTCTCTCTCTCCCTTTACTAAAGGTTACAAAGTTCTAGGACAGTCCAGTATTTCTAAATATTGTATTAAAATATCTGGAGAAATATTTCGACTTGAGATTCATGATGTCCTTCATGCCTAGTGTACGTTAGTGTAATTTTGAACAGCCAGGCTGGTGCTTCCTGATCTGGCCAATTCTTACCTGTTGACTAGTGGCCTTCAACCATGTACTAGATATAATAAACTGTAATTTTTGAAACATGCCTACATCCAGACCTTAACTACTCTAGAGAACTGATCCTGACCTCCCCAGCTTCCTACTCCTGGGATATACTTCACTTCTCTGCAGGCTGGCTCCCCGTAAACCTTGTAGCTATTCTTCTAGCATCTAAGCAAGTTTGACAGGTGCCTATTTTGTAGACATTACTCATATTCCCTCAAATTTCAAATGTAATTAAAGGTGTCATCGCTCCCTCTTTTGAACTCCCATTGCTCCATCTACCTACATTTTACATAGCATTTCTAACATTTTACTGCACAATTTAGTCTTATGCCTGCTTACAGATTCTTGATTACAAACCTCTCAGTTGCAGGTAATATATTTAACTTTGTGATTCCATGACAATGATTAGCACAAGTAAACAGTGCATAGCACACATTTAGCACTCAACAAAACCTTACTGAATACATTGATGAATAACTTAACTTTTGAGGGCCATCTAAAGCAGGGTTGTGCTGGTGATACATAAAGCCCTATTAGGGTTTCTCCAGGTCACAGCAGATCCCTAAACCTTCTTCTCTTCCCAGTTTAACAAGAACAACAAAAATAATCATTGATCCTTTACAAAATAGGCCTAACTCACTTTAAGATAATTTTTATGTAAGTTCAACAACAAAATTATGGATAGTATTGTTATACTCTAATATAAAACTAAAATATATTTATCATAAGTACAAAAAAAATGGAGTAAAGTCCTTAATGTCTGTTTCTGGATTTATTTTCCTATCACCCTCTCTGGAGACACACCATACTCAAGTGAACCTATATATAGTTGGATCTTAGAAGACAAATCTCAAGCTTGAAATTCTCAAAAATATGGGAAGGCAAGTGGGAATTCCACTGTCTCCTATCAGGCAAAGGCTAAGCAGCTAGCAGCAATAAGATATACTAACTTTTCTTAGAAACAGGTAGGAAAATCAATGGATTGCAAGGTGAGCTGAGTCAAAATTGCAGGTTTATTCCATCAGAGAAGATGGATAGGTGCCGACATCCAATTTATAGTCTCGAAGGGCTGTATCTCCTGACATTTCCTGCTGGAATAAAGTAAAAACCTCCATCATATTGGGAAGGGAATGCCTAACCACTACTCCTCTAGATGACTCTTAGACCAGTGCTGTGCCCTTGGGGAGACAGTCGAGTGACCAACTCATTAGCTACTAGCTCAGAGAAAGCTAAAGAAAACAAAATAATGACAAAAGGATAATAACATTGTTCTGCTGCCTCTGATGTATAAAACTGCAGTGTTTAAGAAAGAAAAAGGTTGGTTTTTTTAGGATCAGAATACTTTAATAAGATATCAGTGTCAAAATATATTTCCTTATACAGTTAAGCTCCCGTACAATAATAATGTTGTCAGTAGGAATTTGACAATATAATAATGTTCATGAAATCATTACCTTGATAGGTAAGGTTATTATGACACTTGGAATATTTTTCAGAGTGTTTTAGTAAATCTGTAAGGGTAAAGTGTCTTTAATGCTGAGGCCGACCACATAGGCAATCAAACGCCAGTGCTTACATGTCTGTAACCCTTCAAGTTCTGCTGCCCCACGTGGGGCTGAGTTGTGCTGAAGCATGATTTGGGGCAACAAGGTGATTAGGTAATTTTTCTTGTATAACTTAGATTTCTTTTGAAATTAAAATTTTTGTTCTATATTCAAAAAACCCCACTAATCAAAAAGATAAATGTACCCCAATGTTCATAGCAGCATTATTTACAATAACCAAGATATGGAAGCAACCTTGGAAGCAACCTAAGTGTCCATCAACAGATAAATGGATAAAGAAGATGTGGATAAAGATATATATGTATGATAATGAATATCATTCAGCCACAAAAAAGAATGAAATTTTGCCATTTGCAACAACATGGATGGACTCGGAGGGTATTTATGCTTAGTGAAATAAGTCAGGCATGGAAAGACAAATACTGTTTGATATCACTTACATGTGGAATCTAAAAACTAAACTAGTGAAGACAAAAAGAAACAGTCTTGGGACTTCCCTGGCAGTCCAGTGGTTAAGATTTCACCTTCTAATGCAGGGGGTGCGGGTTCTATCCCTGGTCAGGGAGCTAAGATCCCACATGCCCCGTGGCCAAAAAAACCAAAACATAACACAGAAGCAATATTGTAACAAATTCAATAAAGACTTTAAAAATTGTCTACATCAAAAAAAAAATCTTAAAAAAAAAAGTGTCACAGAGAACAAACTAGTGGTTACTAGGGGGGAAAGGGAAGCAGAGAGGGGCAAATAGGGGCAAGGGGTTAAGAGGTACAAACTACTATGTATAAAATAAATAACCTACAAGGATATATTGTACAGCACAGGGAATGTAGGCAATATTTTATAAATTATAAATGGAGTATAACCTTTAAAATTTGTGAATCAATGTTGTATACCTGAAACAGATAATCATCAAGTATACCTCAAGTATACCTCAAGTACATCAAGCATACCTCAATAAAAATTTTTAAAAATAAAGTTCACCCACCTCCTTGCTCATTTATTTATATGCTATCTTACATTTATGCATTTGCTATTAACTAAAATTGACATATTTGTAATATTTTTTTAAAAAGAAGGAAATATTCAAAGAGCATAAAGAAGAAAATAATACCTTTAAGGGGACAAACATAAAACTTACAGATAAACAATCCCACAAAATAATGGTATGAAATAAGGACCAACATACAATTTCATAACCAGTGCTATACACTGAATTATGTCCTCCTAAAATTTATATTTTGAAGCTTTAACCCTCCGTGTAACTATATATGAAAATCGGGCCTATAAGGAGGTAATTAATATTAAATAAGGTCATAAGGGTGGGGCTCTGATAGGAGAGGGTTAGTGTCCTTATAAAAAGAGACATCGTGCAGACTTCTTAAAAAGATCCCACGTGCTGCAGCTAAGACCCAGCACAGCCAAAAATAAATAAAAAATATTTTTTAAAAAATAAAATAAAGACAGCAGAGTTTTCTCTATCTCCCTCTTTTTTGCTTCCTGCCCAAATACCATTTTTTTGAGGTATAGTAGACATAGCATGTTAGTTTTAGAGGTACAGTGTAATGATTTGTATAAGAGCAAATGATTACCACAGTAAGTTTAGTTAACATCCACTCTACTAGTTATTTTTAAATGTACAATATGGTATTATTATAGTTATTTTTAAATGTACAATATGGTATTATTAAATATAGTCGCTGTGTTGTATACTATATCCCTGTTATGTAGTTTATAACTGGAAGTTTGTACCCTTTGACTCCCCTCATCCATTTCAGCCACACACCCCCTCAACTCTTCACCTCTGACAACCACCAATCTGTCCTCTGTATCTGTGAGCTTGATTTTTTAAATTTGTTTCATTTTTTTTTTAAAGATTCCACATGTAAGTGAGATCATAAGGTATTTGTCTTTCTCTGCCTGGCTTATTTCATTTAGCATAATGCCCTCAAGGTCCATACATGTAGCAAGTAGCTAGATTTTATTCCTTTTTATGGCTGTATAATATTCCATTGTGTGTATATATGTATGAATGTGTGTGTATATATGTATATAATCACATTTTCTTTATCCATTTGTCTGTTGATGGATGTTTAAGTTGTTTCCATGTCATGGCTATTGTAAATAATGCCTTAATGAACATGAGGGTACATGCTCCTTTTGAGTTAATGTTCCTGTTTTCTTTGCATAAATACCAAGAAGTGGAATTGCTGGATCATATGGTTCTATTTTTAATTTTTTGTGAAACTTCCACATAATTTTGCATAGTGGCTGCACCAATTTACATTACCATGAACAGTACTTAAGGGTTCTCTTTTCTCCATACCATCACACTTGTCATCTCTTTTTGATGATAGTCATTCTAACAGGTGTAAATTGATATCTCATTGTGATTTGGAAATGCATTTCCCTACTGATTAATGATGTTAAGCACCTTTTCATGTATGTGTTGGCCATTTGTATGTCTTTTGAAAAGTGTCTATTCAGATCCTCCGCCCATTTTTTTAATCAGATTGCTTTTTGGCCATTGAGTTGTATGAGTTTTTTATATAGTTTGAATATTAACCCCTTATCAGTTATATGATTTGCAAATATTTTCTCCCATTCTTTATGTTGATTTGTCATTTTGCTGATGGTTCCCTTTTCTGTGCAGAAGGTTTTTAGCTTGATGTAGTCTCTCATATTTTTTATTTTGTTGCCTTTGCTTTCAGTGTCAAATCCAAAAAAATCATCACTAATACTGATGTCACGGAGCTTAACACCTATGTTTTAAGGTGTCATGTCTTAAATTCAAGTCTTTAAACCATTTTAATTTTTGTGTATGGTATAAGATAGTGGTCCAATTTTATTCTTTTGCATGTGGCTGCCCAGTTTTGAACACCATTTAATGAAGAGATGGTCTTTTCCCCACTGTATATTCTTGGCTCCTTTCTCCTAAAATAATTGACCCCATAAGTGTGGGTTTATTTCTCGGCTATCTATTCTGTTCCGTTGATCTATCCTTCTGTTTTTGTGCTGGTACCATACTGTTTTGCTTACTCTTGCTCTGTGATATAGTTTGAAATCAGGGAGCATGATACCTCAAGCTTTTTTCTCAAGATTGCTTTTTTCTATCTGAGGTCTTTGTGGATCCGTACAAATTTGGGGATTGTTTGTTCTATGTCTGAAAAAATGCCACTGGAATTTTGATAGGGATTGCATTGATCTGTAGATTGCTTTGGGTAGTATGTACACAATAACAGTATTAATTCTTCCAATTCATAAGCGTGGAATATCTATTTATTTGTGTTTTCTTCAATTTCTTTCATCAATGTCTTACAGTTTTCAAAGAACAGTTACTTCACATCCCTGGTAAATATATTCCTAGGAATTTTATTCTTATTGATGCAATTGTAAATGGGATTGTTTTCTTCATTTCTTTCTGACAGTTCATCATTAGCATATAGAAATGCAACCAGATACTTGTATATTTTATGTATCCTGCAATTTTTGATTAGTTCTAATGGTCTCTCCATCGTGTCTTTAGGGTTTTCTCTATAGCATGCCATGTCATGTGCAAATAGTGATAGTTTTATCTCTTCCTTTTCAATTTGGATGTCTTTTATTTCTTGTACTTATCTAATTACTCTGGCTAGGACTTCCAATACTGTATTGAATAAAATTGATGAGAGTGGGCATTTTTGTCTTGTCTCTGATCTTAAAGCTTTTAGCTTTTTACCATTAAGTATGGTGTTAGTTGTGGACTCGTCATATATGGTGTTGAGGTACATTCCTTTTATGCCCACTTTGTTGAGTATTTCTATCAAATGAATGCTGACTTTTGTCAAACGCCTTTTTGACATGTATTGAGATAATCATATAATTCTGTATCCTTTATTTTGTTAACGTGGTGCACCACATTGATTTTTTGCAGATGTTGAATCATCCCTGCATCCCTGGAATAAAGCCCACTTGATCAAATTGTATTATCCTTTAAATGTATTGCTGAATTTGATTTGCTAATATTTTGTTGAGGTTTTCTGCATCTGTGTTCATCATGGATATTGGCTTGTAATTTTCTTGTGTCATCCTTCTCTGGTCTTAGTATCAGGATAATGGTGTTCTTACAAAATGAGCTAGGCACTGTTCCTTCTGGTATTTTTTCTTGTTTTTTTTTTGGAAGAGTAGAGATTTAATTCTTTTTTGAATGTTTGGTAAAATTCACCAGTGAAGCCATCTCATCCTGGACTGTTGTTTTTTTTATTTGTTGTGGAGGTTTTTGATTACTGATTCAGTCTACTTACTAGTAATTGATCTGTTCAAATTACTTTGTGACTTAGTTTTGGTAGGCTGTATGTCTGAGGAATTTATCCATTTCTTCTAGGTTGCCCAACTTGTTGGTGTATAATTGTTGTGGTCTCTTATGATCCTTTGTATTTCTGTGGTATCTATTGTAATGTCTCTGATTTCACTTCTGATTTTGAGTCGTCTCTCCCCCCCCCGCCACCGCTTTTTTTTTGGTGGGTCTAGCCTGAAGTTTAGGGTTTTG